CCCCAGCGCACACCCACTTCTTTCCTGTCCTTGGTCTTCTTCACCCTCCCTCCTTTCATCCCTCCTTTTCTTCCCTTCTTTCGTTCAGCAAAGTTTTATGAGTACCTACTATGTGCCTGGCCCTACCTAAAAGGAAAATCTGACCACATCTCTCCCCTTCTCCGGGCCCTCAGAATGTATCCCAGTTCTCTAGGACCTGCACCCTGCACCTTCCAAGGCTCACCTTCCACCCCTGTGCCAAGTACCTAGGATGTGCAGTCCCAGCATGGAAATCTAATGATGCTTAGTCCATGATTATTGGCGCGATAAGCCGCAGAGCAGCGGTTTTGTTGAGAGCCAGACCACCTGTGTTGGAGCCTCAGCTCTGCCATTCTGTGGCTTGTGACCCTAAGCAAAGTATTTCACTTCTCTGTGCTTCAGGGTCCTCATCTCTAAGCTGGAACCGTAACAGTCCCCACCTCACACAGCTGCTCTGAGGAAAGAATATTCTAGGAAGAGGGAACAGCATGTGCAAGAATTAGGAGGTGAGGGACCCTACAACCACTTCAGGGACCTGTAAGCTGCTGGGTTTGACTGGAAGGAAGGGGAAGTGATAAGGTCAGTGATGGGGTTGGAGGGGTGAGGGACTTCGCTCTGAAGGCAGTAGGGTAAAGGGATCTCTCTGGCTGCCATGTGCACATGGTAGTGACGAGATGAGACTGGAGGCCAGGAGACCAGAGGGGAGGCCGGGAGCAGCCGTGGGGAGAGGTGGAGGACTGATAAGCTGTGAATGAGGAGGAGCCTAGGATGAGACCTCAGCTCTAGCTAGGAGACTGGGGGATGGGGGCCAGGCCTGCGGTTGACATCAAGGCCAGAGAGGGACATGGTGTGTCAAAGCATCCACATGGCTTGGCCCTGGGAATGGAGCTCAGTTGAGAGGGCCAGGGGCAGGAGCAGGCATGAAGGACGGAGGTGAGGATAGTTTCCCTGGGCTGCACCGGGAAACCTGGCTCCTGCCCAACTCAGACTGGGTGGGGAGAGGGTGGTCCCTGAGCAGAAGCGTCCACCTCCTTCCCCTGCCCTACAGGATGTCCTGTGTTTACTGAGGTGGCCTTGGCCAGAACCGGGACACTGGTGCCAACTTCTAAACTCAACTTCCCATGGCCACACCCTCTCGGGTGAGGGGAAGCCAGAGACACAGAGAAAGAAATAGAGACAGAGATGATGAGACAAAGAGACACAGAGCTCAGGAACGAAAACAGGGACAAAGGGAGAAACGGAGACACAGAGGAGCACACAGGGAGCCATACCAGTTACGACAAAAACACACTAAACTAGGGAAAGGAGCTTCCTTCGCCTGCTCAAGGGCAGCTCACAGCTGACAGCTCACAGCTCACTTAACGGCAAAAGACTGGATGCTTGGCACCTGCGATGGGAACAAGCAAGGGTACCTGCCCTCTGAGGCACAGAGAGAAACAGGAGGGCAGGCAGCAGACTCCCTGGTCTGTCTGACCCTGAGCAGACAGGGTGGATTTTCTTCCCGACTCTAGTCTGGCCAGTAGTCAGACTCCACCCTCAGCTACTTAAAACTTAAAACTCAGCTCTGACTTTGTCCCTCCTGTGGGTACCCAGGGCTCTCAGAACAGAGTTTCGGCCCCTCCTCATGGCCCTGATGACCTCTCCTCAGCTTTCCCCACACTCGCCAAGTTCTCAGAGGCGCTCCGCACACAGGCTATTCCCTCCACCTGAAACCCACTCTCATTTGTCTACCACTCACAGCTTTGCATGAATCCCTATGGGTCCTTGTCGGGGCTGACCAGCAGCTGCTGAAGGACGGACGAACAGATCAGTCAGACACAGTTTGACTGTGCAAGAGAGGTTTGGGGGGTCCCGGCTTTAGTAGCCAGAGCCCCCTCTTTTGCCTGCCTCGTTAGGCCTTTGTTGGAATTTTTATCTTTAGATACAATCAGTAGGATGAGTAATCTTGGGAGGACACATGTTTACCCTGTCCTTAGGCAGGGGCATCCAGGGATTAAGCATAAGGATTCCAGTAAACACCTGGGGGTCTGCATATGCACAGGCTTGTTTGGAAAGGCCAAAGAATAATTAGGAGCGCCGCCTTCAACACTTCCCTAAGTCGGAATTCTGATGAAACTGGGCAGGTGGCCTTCCACACACTTCCCTTTTATCAGAATGCCCTCCTTACAACTTTCCAACCAAGTCTCATGTGCTCCCCAACATATCCTTCAGGTGCCAGTTCGAATGTCACTTCCTCCAGGAAGCCCTTCCTGATCATTCTGATAGTACCAACATGCCAGGCCCCTCATATAGACCTAGATCCATCTTTCATATCACTTGGGTCTGTGTGTAATAATAGACTCATCCTGTTGATCACTTTTTTTTAAATCTTTTTTAAAATATATTTTTATTGATTTTTTACAGAGAGGAAGGGAGAGAGATAGAGAGTTAGAAACATCGATGAGAGAGAAACATCGATCAGCTGCCTCCTGCACATCTCCCACTGGGGATGTGCCCGCAACCCAGGTACATGCCCTTGACCGGAATCGAACCTGGGACCTTTCATTCCGCAAGCCGACACTCTATCCACTGAGCCAAACCGGTTCCGGCGTGTTGATCACTTTTTTAACATCTGTCCCCTTTCAACTGTGAGTTCTGTGAGGGCGGTCACTGTCACTACTGTGTCCCCAGCATGGCCTGGCCCAGGGATAGATACAGAGAAGGTGTCTGCTAGGAGCCGGTAAAGGTATAAACAAGACAGATGCTAAAGAAGGGGCATGCTTGGTCCTGGGGCGCAGCTACTGGTATGAACAAGGACACAGTTCTCAGCTCTTGGACATTTCCTATGTGTTGAGCTCTCTTTGGATTCGGCTCCTTCTGCCCATAAAACTGTTCCCTTCCCTCTTCTCTAGTCTAGTTCCTATCAGTCATTCAGTCTCAGCTCACACGTCCCTTCCTCAGGACGCCTTCCCCGACCTCCCTTCCCCTGCTGGCGCAGGCCCCTTTCCTGGGCTCCCCCGTCAAGGCCCTGATTGGCCTCTCTGCCTGCGAGTCTCCATCACAACCCTGGCCATTTCGGGTCTGTCCCCTGTTGGGCTGTGAACTCTGTGGAATCGGGCCCGGGCTACCTTGGTCATATGGTGTCCACAGCACTGTTCAGCGTGGGGCTGGGCACAGGACCAGGTGCTCACTGACCGCTGATATCGGATGAAGGACTGCTCCCTTCTCCCCTCTGGTGCTTTGCCCGTATTTGTACCTCCACCTGAAGCCCCTTCCCCACCTTTGTACCTGGCTCCCTTGTCTCAACCCTTCAGCTTGACTCTAGATGTCTCCTCCTCCAGGAATCCTTTCCTGAGCCTGCCCCCACCCCTGGAGTAAATGTGGGTGTGTCAGTGTCTCTAGTGCCCAGCACATGTTTTTTGAATGAATACATGAACAGATGAATATTTGAATAAATCAATAAAAGCGAGGGGTGTTGGGGGTGGGGGGTGGGGGCAGATTGCAGCGGTTGAGGGTCTCCTCAGGCCCTTCAGCAGCCCTGACCACACTGTCCCTTCCACCCCTCCTGGGCGGAGGGCTCTGGCTGGGTTTCGGCCACACCCCAACCCTCGCTGGCTGCCTGGAAGGTTTTTCCCAGAGCTCAGCACATTCCTGCCTCTCCAGTGGCTGAGAGTGGGCAGGGGACATTTTGGAGAGAAGAGAGGAGGCCCCGAGCATTCTGGGATCTTGCCAACCTGTTCTATGGGGTCCTGCCAACCTGGTCCCTATGCCCTGATATACAGTGCAGTCAAGGGGACAGTCCCTCAGAGGGCCCACTGTGCTGGGGTGAGAGTTGAGGCTGCACAAAGGGCCCGGTGGCCTCGCCTGGCTGCACAATGGGGCAGAAGCTGCTGATGTGCACTTTGGGGGTAATCCCCAGGCTCATAGCAGCTCCAGCCTCAGGCCTGGGCTCAGAGAGCTGTGAGCATCCGAGGCAGCAGCCAGGAGGGTTCGAGGGGCATGTGGGGGTACTTGTGCTTTCTATGCCGCCCCCCAGGGCCTGGTGAGTCAGGGAAGGCTGGGGGCCGGAGGCCAGGGTATCAGGGTGAGGCCTTGGTTGGGAGTTGGGCAGGTCTGGGCTCAAATTCTAGTGCTACCGACTACCTGCTGTGGGTGGTCATGGGTGTCACCCTCTCAGAGCCCGTTTGTCTGTTATATGGGGGCACAGAACAGTGTTGCAGCATCTTTGGGGTCCAGCAGAAATGGAGTTGGACTAGAGACCAGCCACTCCTGGCTGTATATCTAAAAAGTGGGTATAATTTACCCACCTTGCACCCTTGGTGCCAGGAGCAGGGCACAGTTTTAGCACAAGATAGGTGTGCCCCCCAAATGGCAGCTCCATTAAGCAGAGTAGTGGGACTCCCCTGTGCCTGGTGTCACTCAGGCCAAAAGCCCACTGACAAGGCTAGCTGTCCCCCTGATTTGTATGGATAAAAATGCAAAATATTTATAAGTAGCATTCATTCTATGCCAGATTCTTTAAAAGGTTTTTAGCCTCTTTTAACTCATCTAATCTTCACAACAAACCCATGAGGGTGAGCACTTTTACTATCTGTTTTAGAAATGAAGAAATGGAGGCCCAGAGAGATGCTGTTACTTGCTGAACGTCACACAGCCAGGCCGTGGCTGAGCTGGGAGAGGGAGTGGAAGTTTATTTTAGGGGCCCCAGGAACCTGGGGGGCCAGGCTTGTTTCTGAAAGTCAGGAACTCATGCTGGTGGGGTGCTCAGTCTCCGAGGGGGTGTAGCTGTGCAAATCCCAAGAGCAGGGGCTCATGGTGGCAGTCTCACCCCAGGCAAGGGAGCACAGCTGCCTTGTGGCTCCCCACCCCCCTGGCAAGTGAATGTAGCTGGGAGGGGGGGGGTGTTTGTTTCCCCACCCTCACCCCTGGTGATGTCATGCCTGGGCAGCCAATGGCTGGGGTCTCCCCCTTCTTCCCTCCCCATTCCTTTTCCCCCCCAGCCTGGTGCTGGGGCTGAGCAGACAAGGGACAGGAGCCGCTCTGGAGGTGTCTGGAGGCCCAGTGGTAAGAGATCAGCCCGCCAGTTCCCTTCCCGGCCAGGCTACTCAGCCTCGGGAATGGGACCCAGGGTCCTGGGAGGTGCTGGGAGGGTGCTGGGGCTCAGGAAGCAGCGTGTTGTAGGAGTTGAAGGTACAGACTTTGAAGCCAGACCCTGGCTTCCAATCCCAGGGTTCCTCTCTTTCTGGCTGTGCAGCCTCTGACAAGACACTTCACCCTTTGTGCCTCCACTTTACTTCTCTAAAAGGGGCTGCTGAAGGCCACCTCACAGGGCTGACGGGGAGATAAGTTGCTGCTTGTAGGGCAAGAATGTCTGGGATAGGGCCGCGGTTTGGTCCCTGGAAGAGTGTGCTGGAGGCAGCGCTCACCTGGTGTGAGGTCATGCCCGAACCGCTGGACTTTGTTCCGCATCCAAAGTTCCCCTTTGGTCG